TTTTTTTTTTTTTTTTTAATACGTTTTTAGAACAATACAAGCTGTTTTATTGAAGGTTGAAAACAGTCTCTTTTAATAAGATAGCTTCATTTTTCCCTGTTGGGAATTGGTTAGAGGCTTTTAGAAGTCTCCTGTGCATTTTTATCTTTTTATCTTTTTATTCCTCTTTATACTTTCTTGCTGTGTAACCTCAAAATATCACTGTGAACAGAGATCGATAAAGCTGGTTTCTCATTGATTGTTTCTTCTCTGTCTTCTGAAAAGACTAGAACTGTGAACTGAAAACTTTGTTTTACATCAGATTTTAATAATTGTCTATTTAAAACTTGTCTGCATCTGGGACTTAGTAGAAAACTCTGTGCCAAGCAGGCGTTGCAGTCTGAAAGCTGAAGCGTTGTTGAAATAAATATGGAAAAGTGAGCTGGCAGAAATATGAAAAAGGAACAGCTATTTTTGAAGTATAGGATTTGAAATTGCTTTCTACTGCTGCCATACCGTTCTTGCTTGCAGGCACCGTTAGCACAGACGCGTAATTTGTCTTTTCTGCATGGGAGCTGTGTGAGGCTGTTGGATCATGGCAGAGGTGCACATTCACCCTTTCAGAGCTAGCTCTCATCCCCCTCCTGGTAGGATTGTGCACCTTTGCTTCTAATAGTGTTCCTAGAATTGGGATGCTGGGATAATTGAAAAGGTCAGTTAGCTGTTTTGAATCATGGTTTTGGAACTGAGAGGGCTTGTTCACAACATGGGCTGTCTGTACACATGCTCCGGTGGGAGGGGGTGCATTTTTGAGTGGCTCTCAGGAGGCGCTCTGATCAAAACGCCTGCAGCTGCTTGTGTATACAGTGCCCCGCATTTCAAAATGGTGGCAGGGGTGCTTTAACTAAAACTTCTTTGAGAATAAAGAGAATAATTTTTAGAATAACAGAGATGTTTGGTCTTGTGACCAAGAATGTCTTTGTCTTTTTATGCAAAGGCTTGGAGACGAGAATAGGAATCAAGAAAGAATGGTGAAAATAGGAAAAGTTTAGCTCTAGGTCTTCTCATTGGAACAGCTCTGTGGTACATAGTCTCGTCTGGTGTAATGGGCTAACAGCAATCAATATTTACTCTCAGCAGTGTGCAGACACTGCTAATTGAGCTCAGAAAATGGCTTTTTCATTAGTGCAGATTCTGCTAGGCAGACTGTTCTTACTTTTCACAGAGTCAAAAGCAGAAAGATCAGGAAGCTGTAGGAACAACTAATGCCGTGGGCAGCATTTCATTTGACTCCTAGAATATGCTGTACTACAACAGTAAAGTACGTCTAATTGGGCATTTCTTTTTCATAGGATTAATGTCAAGGGTAGGCTCATGTGATGCTAGGAAACAACACTGAAGACCTGAAGAATGATTTGGCATCATCAACATGAAGAGTGTCTGTCTTTGTGTTCTGCATGGTTTTGGCAGTGAAAAGCAATTTTTTTGGGGGGGGGGTTCGTAACTGCTGTTAGATTTTAGCTTATAAAGAGACATTGCAGGAAGAAGTTTCCAACCCTCTGGAGTGTTAATCTGGGTAATTTCTTTTAACCTGGAGCATGATTCTCAAGGAGCCTGTTTTTAATCCTTCCTTCTACATACAAGGTGAGGTGAGGTAGACTACATTATCTTAAGCATAATGGTTTATCTGCTTGTCTCTGACATACCTGACCTGACAGGTCCAAGGAATGAATGATTTGGGGTGTGGACCAAGGCTAAAGTTAGTAGGAGGGGGAAGCAGCCAGGAACTTGAGCAAAGATGATGTTGCCACCCAGTGAGGAAGCAACCTGTCTTACAGGTTAGTAATTCAAGGTCTTTTTAGAGCCAGGGCAGCCTCTGATTATTCAGGTAGTGGCTGAGGCCCAGGTGCTCTGTCCTCTGCCCCTGACAAAAGGAGTGTGACTTTCCCCTGGGTGAGGGCCGATGTATGCGGCACTGGGTTCTGAACTACCTCTTATAACTCGGGAAAGATGCCTTGGATCACTGTAGATAGCTTTCTAAAAACGTTGGCTCGGTGTGTGGCAGTGACAAAAAACCCCAGTATAATGTTGAGTATCATTAAGAGGGGAATTGAGAACAAAATGGAGAACATCATCATACCAGTATACAAATCCATGGTGTGCCCACATCTTGAATACCATGTGCAGTTCTGGTTTCCACATCTCCAGAAAGATGTAGTAGAATTAGGAGAGGTATGGAGGAGATCAACCAACATGATCAAAGTATGGAGCAGTTGTCATACCAGGAGAGACTAAAAAGGCTAGAAGTGTTCAGTTTGGAAAGGAGAAAGCTGAGGGGAGATATGATAGAGGTCTATAAAACCGTGAAGAGTGTGGGCCAAATGAACAGGGAACTAGTATTCACCAAGTCCCAAAATACTGGACCTAGGGGACTCCGACTGAAGCTAGTAGGAGGCAGGTTTAAAGCTAACCGGAGAGAGTACTTTTTATGTAATGCATTAACATGTGGAATTCATTGCCACAAGGGGTGGTAGGGTCAGAGAGCACAGCTGGGTTCAACAAGGGACTAGCCACATTCGTGGCTGGTGGTCTGTTAGTAGCTGTTGAACAGAATAGTTGAAGGAGTCCAACCCAACATGGTGGGTGCCAGGGTGGTAAGGAATAGGGGGAAGATTACTCTCGAGCTGTCCGGTTCAATGCTCTCCCTCTAACGCTTCCGCCTCTGCCACCATTGGATACAGGGTACAGGGTTGGAGGGCCACTGGTGGCACTGACCACATGTGGCACTTCTTAGGTTATCATCTCAGCTGTCCACACCTGAGGTGTGGCCTTTTCCGTGGGCTGTATGCTGGAAGCTAATGGTAAACACCAAGGCCAGCTATCGGCAGGGTTCGCTCAGAGGACAGCTAACGTCCATCTCCGAGCTCTGAGCAGGGGGCCTGGTAGCTGCCAGGTAGCGTTCAGGGTTTCGGGTCTGCCGCACAGTTAAAAGTCTAAAGGGGTGCAAGCTGGAGCCACCTCTCTCCCATCAGATACTGCTGCACAGTGAGTGGGCCCTGGAGCTTGGCATCCTTAGGTCTGCTGTAGGAGGTGGGTGGGCGCAGATGGATGGGGAAGGGCATCGCCTGGGTGCTGGCACACTGCAAGCTTCACATTTGTCCCAAGCTGCTGGTAAGTGCAGGTGGGGGGGCTCTGCGTGTGCGAGTTTTTTGAGTCTGAATGCTCTTAGCTCCGTGGCTTGTGGTGGATATTGTTGTGCTTTTTATTTTTGAGTATTTCGTATTGCTAAGATAGAAGCGGTCCCAGGATCTGAACCTGCTCTGGCACCTGCTGCTGCTGCTGGTAGCTTTAGTCGCACGTTGGTGTGATTTCCTGCCCTGTTACTGCATGAAAGACTTGCATAGACTTGCTGTGTATGCGGAGCAGAGACACCACACTGAAAACAATTGTATATCAAACACTGTTCAACATGAACTCAGGGAGGCAATTAATAGCGTTTTTTTTCCTAACCTCTTTAAACGACTGTGATGGTAGGGATTACTTAAAAGTATAGCAGGTGGGGGGACTCGTTACAGAAGTGTGTTTTGTTTTTTTTTCCCCCTCTTAGGGTAACCGTTCTGTTTTAATTTTGGTAAACTACTAGGTTCTGGCTTTACTACTGCCGGCATGTAGCATATCTCCAGAAAACATTTCTTTTTTTTTCCAATTATGTGTAGTGGATCAGTTGTCTTTTCTCACAATTTTTTTTCCTCCAGGGCCCAGGCTCTCAATTGCTTCTATTAAAGGGCTACTTTGAGTGCTAAAATAGACTAATTAAACTGGCCTTGTTTCTCATTGCCCCAAAACATGGATTACTTTATGTGTATAGGTTTCTGATTTGTAATAGAGACAGTATCACTAAACTGTTGGATTTCAGATGCGTCTGAAACAGAATTAGCTGGGTAATATCCTTATGACTTATGAAATCAGAACAGTGAGATTTTACATCAGTTGACTTGGCCTGTAGGATTAATTCATAAAATATTTGGTAATACATGCACAGATGACATTCTTTTCCGGTGGGTCATGGGCCTGTCCTTTGTAACCTGTGCAGCATCGCTATGAGTAGGGACCTAATTATGTTAACCCTTTTGCGTAAGAAGCTTGGAAGGGACGTGGGTCGGTTGCAGTGATGCACTGTAATGGACCCTTCAGAATTCAGGAAGTGCTTTTCAGAATGAAGCTGATGGTGTTGGTTGGACATACGGGGTCTAGTCTTTCCCTTTCCTCAGGAACTAAAAGTTTTGTTTCCTAAGTTTCTCGCTGGAAGGCCACAACATTTTGGTGGCTTTTTAGAAAGTATAAAACAACCCAGTGTCAGAGACTCAACGTATTTTCCTGGTTGGTAAAAACAGCGCCACCAAATTTTAGTAGAGGTAGTTGCATTTATACCCTGCCTTCCAAGTTTAGCGTAATGGTTATATCTGAGCTGCAAATAAGCATTTAAGCGGTACCAACCAGTGAGAACCTGTCTTTAGATAAGTAACTAAAAAGTACAGGTGCAAAGCACAATTAAAATTATTTCTTTAAATACAGGTTTTCCTGATTTAAGTCAGCCCGTTCTGAACTAAAGACGTGTGCCTTCTTCCCTAAAGAGGCATTGGCCTTCCATGCATTCAGGTGACAAACACGGCGGGTGGCCTGTTCTGCGTGCTCTCTTGGAACAAGACACCTCAGTAGCAAGTCAAGTCTGATTCTTCTCCTAGTTAGTGGGATACTGTCACTTCTGCAAGCTGGGGTAATAATGGCTGAGATTTCATTGCAGTGTTTTGGTAACTGCATGAACAAAAAACCTAATTTATACATAACAGAACGTGAAAACTGAATTTTCTGGGTCATACTTGACCTGGGGGGAGGTGGGTAGTGGAGTCCCCCAGGGCTCGGTCCTGGGGCCTGCGCTGTTCAATTTCTTCATCAGCGATCTGGATGATGGGGTGGAAAGTAACCTGTTTAAATTCGCTGATGACACCAAAATTTGGGGGGAGGTGAGCACGCTAGCAGGGAGGGAGAGATTGCAGAGGGATCTGGATAGGTTACAGGGGTGGGCTAACAGGAACAGGATGCGTTTTAATACGGACAAGTGCAGGGTGCTGCACTTGGGCAGTAGGAACCAGCAGCACACTTACACAATGGGGAACTCCCTACTCGAGAGCACGGAGGCAGAAAGAGATCTTGGAGTCATTATTGACTCCAAGATGAACATGGGCCGACAATGCGAGGTCATGGTTGGCAGGGCTAACCGGACCTTGTCGTGCATCCACAGGTGCATCTCGAGTAGAGCCAAGGAGGTGATCCTCCCCCTCTACGCGACGCTGGTCAGGCCACAGCTGGAGTATTGTGTCCAGTTCTGTGCGCCCCATTTCAAGAGGGATGTGGACAACATGGAGAGGGTCCAGAGGAGGGCCACCCGCATGATCCGGGGACAACAGGGCAGACCCTACAGTGAGAGACTGCGGGACCTGAACCTATTCAGCCTCCACAAGAGAAGGCTGAGGGGGGACCTGGTGACCGTCTATAAACTCACTAGGGGGGACCAGAAGGGTTTGGGGGAGACGCTGTTTCCCCTAGCGCCCGCTGGCATAACAAGGAGTAATGGGCACAAGTTGATGGAGAGGAGGTATAGATTGGACATCCGCAAAAACTACTTCACAGTTAGGGCGGCTAGGAGCTGGAACCAACTTCCAAGGGAAGTGGTGCTTGCCCCTACCCTGGGGGTCTTTAAGAAGAGGCTGGATGCCTACCTGGCTGGACTCATTTGAGTCCTGTTTCTTGTTTTGGGGTTTTGTTGTTCTCCTGCCCTGGCGGGGGGTTGGGCTAGAAGATCTACTAGGTCCCTTCCGACCCTAAATCTATGAAACTATGAATTTAGGATCCTATTCTGTGCATTCTGTTTAGCAACTATATTTAATGATATACCTGTTTTTTAAAAACTTTACTCGCATCTGTCCTCACCATTTTCTTTTCATTTGTGATGGCATTTGTGTTGTTTCCTTTCAGTTAGTCTCCTTTGTGCTGCTTTTTACTCTCTCAGTTTTTTCCTCTGCTTTCTGTTCTCCCTTATTTTATTTTAACTGTTGTGACCCCTCTCCCTCCCTCTTTCAGCAGGGTAACCCTCTAAGTTTCAGAGGTACTTTGACCAAAGGGCACCTGCAATTTCATCAGTGATGCAGAATTTTAAAGACTGTGTGGCTGGTTTTTCCAATGGTCTCTTTTCTGATGTGCGTTATCTCATTCATTCCAGATGTTGGTGCTCAGTAATTGTATCTGTAGTTTATAAGCCTATTACAGGTTCCATATATTATAGTGCTGTATAATTTTAGTGTCCTTCCAATTTGCAGTCTGTCCGGGTTTGGAAAGCTGCAGTACTAAAATTGAATTTAGCAGTGGTATCTGGTACGCTCAGTGTACATGCATGTGTGTGGGGCCATAAATCACCGTCTGGCAATAAGCACTGCACAGACCTCTGTGTATGTTGTTATTTCAGATTGTTCTTGTTTGACATTTACTGTTCTATGCCCTTGTACAGTAGGGTGTGAATAATTGTGTGCAGGTTCTGATGCTTTACTAAAGAAGAAGATACTTTGCAATTTCCACAGCAAATGGGCACAGTAGGGACCAATTTCCTGCACTTCAGACCTGCTGATTTAGCCAATACTGTAAGTTAAGTGGCAGGTTTACATTTCTAGAAGGATCACAGGGTAGTATAAAAACAGTGCATCTCTGGGGCCACTTTACTCTGCTGAGTCTTAGGGCAGCTGGTTTGAGCATGGGGAATACAAACTCAAAAAGCAGCAACAGAAATGATACGGCCCCAGCTCATCCCGAGCTGTCTTTCTGTGGTTCTTTTTCAAGGAAATGGAATGAAAATGTCTTTTTGGACAGTGAGCTCTTGACGTCCAAGATCTTGTCTGCTCTCCGTCCCCAGTCAGAGCGGGGTTTGAGAGCAGGCGATCTGCGATGTACTGCTCACTTTCTGAGCACTGATTCCATTTTTGCTTCTCTAGCAGCCTCTCTGAAGGAGCAACCCCGGAGCATTCTCACGGGACCGGATGGCACCCAGGTTCTGTCGCGCAATCTCGGCATGACTGTCGCCCAGAGAGGAAATTCTCAGGCTTCGCTGAATCCTGCTAGTGCTGTTAGTAAATTTGGGTAAGCAGACTACTTCTTAGTTAAGCACTTGTTTGAGGGGGTGGGGGGTGCAACTTATAAAAACAGTTGTACTACTAAATCCTCTAAAAAATAGGAGCATGCATTTATTGCAAACTCTGGAGATTATCTGATGAGCTCTTGCTGCTTAATTTCACTTAGAGAAATGCTCCCGAAACAGAAGGCTATTTGTTTTTTTGAGGGTACACACACAGTCTTTTTTTTCCCTCTGCAGTGCTGCAAATGCTGTTATGTTCATATTGGGATTTTGGCATTTGAATACTCTTGTTCAAGGTTTATTTTCCATTTACATTGTTTCTCCCTAGGTCTGTGGAAAATTGGGAATCACTTCAGAGATTAAGAATAAGCTAGTGTGGTGCTAGCTTCACCCAGTGTGTTTGCCAGTGCTGGTTAACTTGAAATATCCCTTGCTTTAAAACAGTGGGCTACTTCAAAACTGCCGGTTTTTTAATCTTTTTTGGGATCCATAATTATTCCCAATCCTAGTGAAGGAGCCTTTTGCTATGATCCTATATAGGGTATGCAATGCTTTGTCCGGTTCATTAACAGAAAAAGAAGTGCCTGTTAAAGGTTTAGTACCAAAAGTTGTCCAAAAGCTGATACCAGCTTAAACTGCAAATGTATCCATATAGATAGTTGGTGATGTTAATAGGGTGGTTTGACTGTTTAATTTCAGAGTTCAAAGACTGTCTTTTCTTTTTTGTGGAGCTAAGAAGATGAAAAAAATGTTTAAAATGGTTTATTATAGATACATTTAGTAATGCTTTTCTCTCTAAGATGTTGGCAGCCTATATTAAAGTAATGGCTTTGTCTAATGTCTTTGACTGTTTTAGACTAAATACAGGAGAAATGGATGAAGGGGATTCTGGATTTTTTAAATTCAGGCAGACCTCATCAGATGATGTCGTCTCACTTGCATCTTCAACAGCAGACTCCATTTTTCTGGAAGGTACAGAAGTTCTCTGCTTTTCAGGATTTCCTGCTGTTTTGAACAGATAATCTTTCTGGAATACAGCTGATATGTTCTAAATTTTTTTATGTTAAAGGTACTGGGGATACAACCTGGGGCAAAGTGTGGTACTTAATGAACTGGGCTGTGCTTTTGACCTAGATGCAGTTTCTCTCTCTCTGCGAAATGAGATAGAAACAGATGCTCGCGAGTTTGAGGCAGAATCATGGAGTCTCGCAGTGGAACAGTCTTATGCAAAGAAGCAAAGGAAAGAAGTTATCAAAAGGCAAGATGTCATTTATGGTAAGAATTAAAATAGCAAATTAATATGTCATAGTGTTTCTATTTTGCATGTTTTCCTTGTGCTTGGGAGCTAGAACTGTATGAAGATTGTCACACTTTAACTTCTCATCTTTCTGTGTATTTATGTTCTCCTGCCACATAGTTTTAAACAACCTACAGCTTTTTCTGGAATGCTAATATATAAGCCATGTTTGGCTGCAACCTGGAGATACCCTAAATTAGTCAATCTTACTTGCTACTTGGATGGAAAATTTCCAAAGAAAACTAAAGAACTACCAGGAAGGGGCATTCACATTTTAGTAGAGCAGCACATTTATGTCTGTACTGATGCAGTACCCTGCAAGTTTTTATGGCTCTCAGTACTATTAGAAATGCTTTCCTTCTAGTGAAACCTAATACTAAAATTGTGATTTCTTGTCCTCAAAGAGCCTGTGGTTTTGACGCAAGGGTGGACTTGCTGATCCCATACCTGTCCCACTTAGAACTTGCTGTCTGAAAACTGCTTCTGTGGTTCTGGTTGAATTATGAAATTCTTCATTTCCGGTTCAGAACAGTTGCTGTGATTCCACCCAAGAGATGTTTGGACAGATTCCTTTTTCATCCAGACTTCCTTACAGATTATATCTAAAAGGATTATTACTAATGCCAAGAGGTTTTGCGCACTTCTACCCTGCTAACTTCAAAATGTTTAGTCTGTATTGCTAAGTCCCATTAGAGAGTTTTGAGTAGACTGCAGATTTTATCTGTCCATCTGTGAGCTGCTTCGGAAAAGGTCTTTAAGCACTACCGTGCTGTCATGTCTCAGTGTAATCCTTGGCACCTTGTTGTTGATACTTCATTAATGCCTGGGGGAAATCCAAAAGCATCGTGACTGAGTTTTCTATCCAAAGCCTGGCTTTTGTATTTGCAAGAACGTATAATGCCCCAGGTCTCTGTTCTGCTGACGTTACGGTAGTTTAACGTCTTATCTAGGCTTACGTGATAATAGAGCTATCAGTCTTTGTTGGACCTCAGTAAGAGAGGGGTTTTTTGTGTATTTAGTGAAAAATATAATTGAAGGCATCCCCTTCTTATTAATGCATGCGTTGAAACTGTGTATGACTGTGGCATGTGGGTAAAGCTTAGAGTACCTGGTACACAACAGTAGAATTAGCATTAGCGTTTCTTGACACTAAGAGGTAAGTGCTGGGCATATTTAGATGCAACTGAAATAAGTTGGCCCTGTAGGTGCCTGTCGTTGTTCTAGTCCATATCTGCTAGTTGTAAGCACCAGCAGTTTAGTGCAGTGGCTTTCATAGCCTGCTTTTTTATGTGCTTTGCCAGCCCATGCCTGATGTTTGTAAGTGACTTCAGATTTTCTCCCCATCTCCAGAGCTGATGCAGACTGAAATGCACCACGTCCGAACACTGAAAATCATGCTGAAGGTGTATTCGAAAGCACTGAGAGAGGAGCTGCAGTTCACTAACATCATTGTCAACAAAATCTTCCCATGTGTGGATGAGTTGCTGGAGCTGCATGGACAATTCCTGCTTCAGTTAAAAGAGCGACAGAGAGAGTCCTTGGAAGAAGGCAGTGACCGTAACTACATTATCCAGAATATTGGAGACCTTCTTGTGCAACAGGTAAGAATTAACCCCTAATAGTGCTGGCATCACAGTTAATGCCAGAGAAGTTAACTGAAAGATTAAAATTGCACTCTGTAAAATTTCAGTACAGAATATCCTAGATGATATAGTTGTTTACAGTTATTTTTCCACAGATGTTCCTGGTGTCCGGAAACATCTGGTCACAAACAGTGCGCGAGGTTCACAAAATGTTTCTTTTGCTGAATGTTGCCTGAGCCACCTCACTTCAAAACCCTCCTCCCCTGCTACCAGCTTCCAGTACAACAGAAGCTGGTATAGCAAAAAACCTATGTCCCCAAAGCCAAGCAGCACAAATCTTGATGAAACCCAGCAGCATTACAGTAGCCAGTCTTGGGGCAGGGGGAAGGTAGTTACCAGCTACATTTTAACTGGATAATTTAATGTCACCATCATGTTTCCAATGTTTAGTTTTCAGGTGAAAATGGGGAGAGAATGAAAGAAAAATACGGAGTGTTCTGTGGTGGTCATAATGAAGCTGTCAGTTATTATAAGGAGCTGCTGCAGAGCAACAAGAAATTTCAGAACTTAATGAAGGTAAAAAAAAAAACAACCACCAAACAAATCCTCTTTTCCCAAAGGGCAAGGTATCTCTGAGTTGTTCAGGGTTAGTTTTGCATTGAAGACCCCTTGTATTTAGCTGCAGGAAGCCCATAACTGGAAGGAACATAACTTTATTTGGCAGGCTGCTGGCCACATGCCTTTTGTGCATCCCAAGCCTCACAGGCACTTTGGCTATAACTGAGGTCACGGCACAATGCTCAGTTCTTGAGAGGCAGTGTTCCCTCTTGCACAGATCATGGGACTGGATCACGGTTAGGGTCCATCAAGGGTTTTCACTAGCCCTGGATATGTTCACCAAGGATTTTTTGGAAGGATGCCCCGTGGTATGTGATGTTTGTGGATATGATCTAGATTGTAGAAAACAGAGAAGAGGTAGAGTGTGACTTGGACAGATGGAGGCAAAGCTTGAAAAAGTATGGGAAAAATCGAGGACGTGTTTGTTCAGGTGATTATGAGGGGAACACACTTTTGTCACTGGATGACCAACACATACCTTCTGCCTTCAAGTTCAAACGTTGAGGTTCCATTGTGCAAGAAAGTGGAGGGGTAAGGAAGCTGGAAGCAGGATAAATAAGGCATGGACATAGTGGAGAGAGGTGGGTTGAATAGTTTGTGATAGGAAAATGCCGCTTCATCAGATGGGAAAAGGCTACAAGAGGGTAATGAAGGCCAGTGCTATTGTACGGATCATTATTTGTGGAGTTAGCAGGAAAATCACGTATGCCACAAAGTGGGGTAGCAGCAGGCCAAGGAGATGCTGAACAAAGGAAAAGCAGAGGGAGAGCAAACTGAGATGGTTTAGGTATGTGTCCAGAAGGCCTGAAGAACTGGAAAGTAACTTCAGGTCAGGAGAGTTGGAGGCAGGAGGAAGAGAGGAAGACCCCAGAAGACGTGGTGTGAACATATAAAACAAGACCTGAGGACGTGGGCATTTCAGGCTGGCAGTGGACAGAAGATTGTAGAATATTTACACTCAGAAAGCAGATTCCACCTTACAGGACGCAAGATCTGAAGAGGAGGAGGAATGCAAAAGTATAATTTATACCTCTTGAAGGGGAGAGCTATGAGCAGCGTTCCCTTTAAGCTGTGCAGCGTGCGTGGCTGCGCTTATGCTGTGTTGCCAGGTGCACCTGCGCGGCCGCACACGCACAGCTTAGATGGGTCTGTGCTGTGGCCTGCTGCCAGGATGCTGTGGATAGGATTGGTTTGGCTGTTGTAGTTCTGCTGTTTTCGAACATTTCCTCCATAAGTGGAGTTGTGGTCATTTAGGTTAGCATTAAATTGCAGAAACAGTCAAAATAGCCACCTGTGCCCTGTTCATTGGTGAATGTAATTCTTCACCCTTACCCTGCTGATTTCTGATTTAATAAGTGTATTAAGTATACTTCAAAGGACATCCTGACTATGGGGAAAAATTCGCATTAAATAGAAAATCCCACGGCTTGAAGTTTAATCTGTTTTACTGTCATTGGAGGTAACACTTAAAATATCATTTTCTATGATACAAATGAAAAGTAACAACAAGCTTGTCATGTGCATGAGGTGCCTATTGCTAATTTGTGATCAATGCTTATGTGGCCGTGTTATGACAGTGTCCACAGTTCCCTGTTGCACAAAGGGAGACATTTCAGGAGGTAAGGAATGGGAATGGGGAGGGAGACAGGAGAGAAGTAAATTAAATGCATCGTGTGATAACGAGTGGCATAAGCTTGCTGGGCTTGAATATTGACTTTCTCTGTGTTTGCTCCCTAGAAAATAGGCAATTCACCCATTGTGAGGAGACTTGGTGTCCAGGAGTGCATCCTCCTAGTCACTCAGCGCATTACAAAGTACCCAGTGCTGGTGGAGCGCATTATTCAGAACACGGAAGGTATTTCATTTACTCTTTCACAGAGATACTGTCAGTCATTTTCCTTCCTGCTCCAGCCCCCTCTTGCCTTGCCCTGCCCTTCCCTCTTCCCAAACAGGGAGCACTTGCTGTGACTCCCTGCAGATGTTGCTCTTTCTTTTCTTTTTTGTTAAAGACTTGGCTTTTGAGCTGCAAGCTATCATATGCTCAGAGGCAGAATTAGATCTTAAGTCTAAAGACAAAGAATCTTTTTGTTTCTAGCCCCTTCCTTTGATGAGGATTTGCCGTGTGTGTTGGGGGTATTTTGTACTTCCTGCTCCTAAGAAACCTGTTCAGGTTTGGTGCGAGTTGGATTGTTTAGAATTTGTTTACAGGAGGCATTTCATGTACCAGAAATTTAAATGCATTTCAGCATGAATGCAAAATTCCTTAAATACAAAAGCACGGTCAGGTTGACAAATAATCTACTTTTTTGCAGCTGGCACTAAAGATTATGAAGAGCTGACCCAGGCGCTCAGTCTCATTAAAGAGACAATCACTCATGTAGATGCCAAGGTAAATGAGTGTGAGAAGGGACAGCGTCTGAGAGAAATTATGCAGAAAATGGAGGTCAAATCATCCGGGAAGTACAGGAATGGGCTGTTGTTCCGGAAGGATGATATGGGGCGGCGACGGCTCCTGTTGGATGGGATGCTGTACTGGAAAGCTGCATCGGGACGTCTCAAAGGTAGAGGACTGGCAAGGGGAAAGCGCACCAGGGAAACAAAATTTCTATTAGTTTAGTAACTGTTTGTTAATGATTGATCGATTGGGTGTACAGTAGGATGATGATAACCTGCTAATTTAATAAAATACTGAAGGAAATAGCACTTGTTCTATTCCTGGCTTGTTAAATAAGCATCCCTATAACGGTGCACAGTAAGTTGAGGTGCTGTGCTGTTTGCTTATTATCTGTCTGATCCTCTGCCCAGTTCAAGAGGGAGGTCTTTAGAGTGATGACAAGGTGTTGAGTCATCCTGCCTTAGACTCCTGTGGAAAAACATTATCTTGTGTGAGCTCTGATTCACACTTTGAAATATCATGTCATGTCAACCCTATGACACCTTCCCTCTGCAGCTTGGCCAGAAAATCAAAAGAGCTGCTGTAAGCTAAAGATTTGTTAACATTGACATGGCTGAAGGGCACCAGAAGACACCTCATTGGCTCGTGCTGTGTGGCCAGGAGGAACCTGGTGCCCGGAGATGTCGTGTTGTTCCAGAAGAATCTGCTGATGGAAATAAGGCATGTTTTTTTTCTGAGCAGACGGTGTCTAAACGCAGTGTTCGTCTCTGAACTGCTCAGAAAATCTTTTGCCTGTGCTCCAGCCCAAAGCACACATGCTCAGGCAGCAAGTGAAAAGCAGTAGTCAACCTGGTATTGCAAATGATGTCAGTGTGAAAGCCTGGTTGATTAGTTGTTAGAACTGGTGGGCACAGTGAACAAGTACTTGCACTTTTCCCCTTCCTCTTCATATTTTTGTTTCTATAAACCTGAGTGTTTCTTCAGAGACGTTTGGTTCCGACAGGTTTAACAGTGTAGAAATCACTAAATAAAACTGCTGGATAGATGTCTAATCTAGATCTTCTCTTACGGCATTGTCTGTCACTGTGGTATCTGAGAGAGGTAACTATGAGCAGAGCCCTGTGGATCTGACATTGCCGAAGGCTGTGCTGTAGAACCTACTCCAGGCCGCAGGACAGTCCTCCAGAATCCAGGTTTTTCTGGATGGTAAGGATTATTGGTGTAGCCCCCTTGAGTAGTCAGCCTCAGAAATATGGCCTGAATATGTAATGCAGGAACAGTGGCTCGGACGGGGGATTTTACCCGTTTGCCGCAATAGATTTTTATCACTGAACCCTGAATAATTCAACTGAAATGTTAACTTTCTTAACTTCTTCATTGCTGGTTTTACGAGAAACCAGCTAATTTCCTGCTGCGCTGATTCCAGGATGCCTCCAAGGTCTTTCCCTGCTGCACAGCTTCTCTTGCTTCCATAGCAATTAAATGTCTTAGAAACCAAATCAGTACCATGAAAACTGAGCATGCGGGCCCATAGAAAATCAGTGCTATAGTAAAATAAATAAAGCAATGGCTATAGTACTGCCCATATTAATTTCAATAAGAAGTACTTCTCTGCTGCTAATTGAAATTAGAGTGCAGAAAACATGCGACCTCACCGCATGGTTCATATCTAATGCACTGGCCTTGATGATCATCCATCCTGGTTGGTTGTTTCGTAAAATGGCTCGTCACAAGGTTGAAATGGTGCTGAGAAGACACAAGTACGAGAGCATCCTCCGCACTGCTCCACATTAACACTGCAGTGCAAAGTGAAAGGGTTGTAAGTTTACACCAGTCTTTGGCTTTACAACCACTTCCGTTTTCTCTTTCTGTTGCTTTTTTAGATATCCTGGCTGTCCTGTTAACTGATGTACTTTTGCTGCTGCAGGAAAAGGACCAAAAATATACTTTTGCGTCTGTGGTATGTACCTTTCTCCTCAAAACATTTGCTGACAATATTAATGAAAGTGACTGAGACCAAGCTAAGAATATGCATAGAAGCCTCAAATACAAACATGGTGGTAGTGCCAAATGCCTCCATAGAGACCAAGGCCTTGTGGTGGTGTGTGCTGCACAGGTGTGCATGGAAGACGTAGCAGACCTGTGGCTTACGTGCCAGCTGGTGCGGAAGGTCCCTTTCTGCTGTCTGGGAATGTCTCCCACCCCCAGAAATGGGCATGTAGGCAACAGGAATGTCAGAGTAATAGGAACAGAGAGTTATAGTTCTCATGACACTAAACTGCTCTCCCACCTTTGTGGGCAGCGCAGGCAGTGATGCAAGAAACAGAAAAAGCAAGTACCTAAAATAAAGCAAGCCAGATACCTTGGGGTCACTTCCTCTGAAATAAAGCTAATACAGGTTCAGCTGTGCTGCTTTTCATAGTGCGGAGCAACTAGCCCGAGCTACTTTAACTCGCCAGGCTTTGGCTTCCTGTTCCTTTGAATAAGAAGCTGTGTTTTTTACCACTCCTTCCTGTCTTTCAGCTGTCTGTCCCTGTCTCTTCTGGTAGCATGCAACTGAAGCAGGATAGAGCTGTGTCTTGAAAGGCACCTGCAAGCAGCCCTTTAAAGAGTGGGTCTCTGCTGCCTGGCTCCCCTCTTATATGTCACTTTGAGGAAAGGATCTGTAGAAAAAGCACACTGTGACCATAGAAATTGTTGAAGGCTGGAGGCTGAAGCAAATGTAATGATCACAGTCATTTGGAGCACTGAGACTTGGTGGATTTGCTTGCTTTTTCAAGGCATTTCCTAGGTTGCCCTGTGTGCCATTACCAGCTGAGAGGTTACATATGTTCTGTACCAAAGGTCAGTTGTGGGTGTAGCAATCTGCCATGCTAATTAGGACACTGAAACTGTAGTTTACTTTTGTTTTAAACCATTATTTACCTTGCCCAGATATTTTTCAGCATAGCAGGACTGAGGCTTAATTTCCATGGCAAACTTTATCAAGACAACTAAAGTGTAATTTAAATAAGTAATTCATGTTAAGCATGTGGCTGAGTACTGAATATGCTTTCTTGAATTGGAGCATCTTCATGGTAAAGCAGCCACTTTTATGTCCTGTCTATTTGTAATAACACATGCATTGGCTTGCTTTTATAGCACAGGACCACAATGAAACTGGCTTCTGATCTGTTTAATAAAATGTACACTCAGCTGAAACGTTGTGGGTAAAAAGCAGCCTGTTCAAATTTGCTGATGACACTAAGGTGTTGGGGGATGTGGGTACGCTAGAAGGGAGGAATAGGCTGCAATCAGACCTAGACAGGTTACAGGGGTGGGCAGCTGAGAACAGGATGGGATTCAACACCGACAAGTGTAAGGTGCTGCACCTGGGGAGGAAGAACCGGCACCATACCTACAGGCTGGGGAACTCCCCTCTCGTCAGTGCAGAGGCAGAAAAGGATCTTGGAGTCGTCATTGATGCCAAGATGAACGTGGACAGGCAGTGTGGGGATGCGG